CACCGTCGAAAAAAAGGAATCTTGTAAAGCGATGTCGTTAACAAATCCCTAGAGTATACGAAGCGGTTCCAAGGTAAACAACGCGACGTCTCCGTCACCTGCGTACACCATTAAAGTCTACCGTTAAATATTAACGCGGACATTTATCGTACGTAATACGTTCGACGGTTTCCACTAACTCGTAAACAACCCAGTCCTTTCTTACCCTAGCCACATCTATACCTATTCAACTACTTATTCTTAGTACATATGTAATTTCTATTGCGTTTCGCATCGAATTTGAGAAACACCAACGTGAAATATGAAACTCCACAATCGAGAGCCATTTTATTTCTTATTCCACTTCCCCCGCCCAACGCTTAGTCGCGTTACATTCACGAGATAACAGATTTCGTTCGAAATACATACATATTGTACAATTCCTACATGGATCTAGAATTAGGTTAGCTAGCTGATACGTCGACAACCTAAATAAGTATGTATGTATATACTTACAAAATTTAACGGTGTTACCGCACTTTCAGTTATCACGTAGTATCTAACTGCTACGACGATGCCTACTTTTCTCTTACGAAGCATTTTCAAAGCATCCTACTTCATACCGACTCAACGAGAAAACATTTCTTTATCTAGTATCGTTATATTATGACGCTCTACGTTATCAAGAATTCGCATAGTTACCAACTGTTCGTACAACACCGATAGACACTTACCCTGCAAAATCAAATTGATCAATTCATATTAACGAAGGAGATCGCTCTTAGTTCGATAAACCACCGTTTCAATGATTTTTAAAACAAAAAATCCACTTCAACTATTTCAAGTTATCGACCTGGATACTCATATGTATCGTACAGTGGTAATACAACAGACCGTGTCAAAAATCACAGGATTTCTTATGACCGCTGCGATATAAAGCGATGAGTTTAGGAATTACATACATATATGCATTCAAACCATCGAAAATGGTAAAGTCGACAGATGTAAAAAATCCTCTTTTGTTAAAGTAGAGCTGTTCACGATCTTTCGATGGTAGCGGTAGAACACGCGTATGTACTGAATCATCTGCTAATAAACAATTACCTTACTTTATTATTTCCAATTTCATACCTACGTTCAATTCGAATTCCAATCACTAATAATGTTGCAATCATATTCTACCCTGAATCGGTAACGTTGGGAGCGACACGAAAATGGTAAGGGCTTTCTCAGTCTCGTGCCACAGACACAAAGTCCCATGAAATGTTATGTCTATCCTGTACGTTGCCTGTGCCCATATCTCGTCTGTGGTTGCAACATATTTAAAATTCAAAATTTTCATTTTCTTTTCTATTTCACTGTGTAGAATTTTTTGGTTCACTTGTGAGATTAATATTTGTGTAATTCTTATCGGAAGATGGTGATGTACCATTAGGAATCGTGCTTACCACGAACAATAACTCGTGGAGGTAAATATTTATCGATACAGTAATGAGTATGACGAGGAAGAGAATAGGGGAAGACGGGGATGACAAAGGTACCGTGTATAGACGAGGATAACGATGTTGCCGTGTGTTAGACAAGGAATGGAATAGGTATAGCCAAGGATAGCGATAGTGCTGTGTGTTAGACAAGGAAAGCAATAGGGATAGACAAGGACGCCATCACGCGTTAGCTGACGCGAACTACGATTTCTTAATAGGAACACAGAATATAAACAGAGGTATTAGACAAGGAAAGCAACACTGTGCGAGAAGGACAGAGAGAGAATGCTTCCTATTGGCTGGCGGGCCGCCATGCTCCATCTTCCAGGCCCTAAATAAATCGGTTGATGAAAAATCGTTAATAACTCGATTCGTTTACGATTTTTCATTAATAAATCAGTAATTACGATGATTTCGTGAATTTTTAGAATTGAAGAATGTAGTGTGGACCTTTAGCTACTTTCTCAAATAGATTTCAATGCACTAGACCCTTCGAATGATTAGTTATTAACAATTTTAGTACTCGATGTCGGAACGATACCGCATACTTAAACGGTTTTTCAATAATTTCGTAGACTTTTTACTAAATTCTCGGGCAACTAACTATATGGGTCTGAAAGACAACTCCCAGAGCTACATTCTCATCTAATTTTTATTAACATATCCGTCATAGTTTTCGAAATATTAAACATTATTTAGGTGAGTTCTACTCTCGTCACATTCAAGGGTATGGGATATTCAGCATTTTCACGAATATGCATGCTAAATTATGCACTTTCAAGCATATATAATATAGTATGGACTTTTGTCTACATTCTGCAATAATGCTTAATTGCATAAGTGGCGTGGTTTATTAGTTATGAGCAATTGTTTATGAGAGTTAACTATACTCGGATACGACTTAATTCATAAATGTTTAATAACTCTTAAACTAAACCGAATATGTTGAAAAAAATGATATCAGAATGCAGCTAACGGAGTTGCCTTTCAGATGCGTATAGGTAGTTGAACGAGAATTTAGCAAAAAGCTTTGAAATTACTGAAAAACCGTTAAAGTATGCGGTATCGTTCCGACATGGAGTAATAAAATTGTTAATAACTAATCATTGAAAGGGTCTATTGCATTGAAATCTATTTGAGAAAGATGCTAAAGGTCCACACTACATTCTTCAATTCTAAAATTTCACGAAATCATCGTAATTACTGATTTATTAATGAAAAATCGTAAACGAATATAAACGTAAACGGTATCGTTCCAGACATCACGTACTAAAATTGTTAATAACTAATTATTGACAGGGTATAGGACACTAAAAACTATATGGGAAAGTAGCTAAAGGCGAGCACTACATTCTTCAATCCCAAAAATTCACGAAATCAGCGTAATTACTGAGTTATTAATGAAAAACCGTAAACGTATATAAACGTAAACGGTATCGTTCCAGACATCACGTACTAATATTATTAATAACTAATTATTGACTGGGTTTAGGACAGTAAAAACTATATGGGAAAGTAGCTAAAGGCCAGCACTACATTCTTCAATCCTAAAAATTCACGAAATCAGCGTAATTACTGAGTTATTAATGAAAAACCGTAAACGTATATAAACGAAAACGGTATCGTTACAGACATCACGTAATAAAATTGTTAATAACTAATTATTGAAAGGGTTTATAGCACTAAAAACTATCTGTGAATGTAGCTAAAGGTCCACGCTACATTCTTCAATCCTAAAAGTTCACAGAATCATCCTAATTAATGAGTTATTAATGATTTTTCACCGGGCCACGTGGCTGAAGCTCTGGGAGGCGGGGCGTAGCGGCTCGTCAGCCAATAGAAAGCGTTTTCTCTCTGTCCTTCTCGCACACTAGTGCTTTCCTTGTCTATTACCTCTGTTTATATCATGTTTTCCTATTAAGAAATGGTAGCTCAGATCCCTAAATGTTAGATGGCGTTAGTCTCGCCCGACTCTTTTTTCTGTCCTTGTCTATCCCTATTCCTTTCCTTGTCTAACACGTGGCACAGGTGCTATCCTTGTCTACACCCATTCCTTTCCTTGTTTATCTCCTTTCTCTAGTACTATCCTTGTCTACCCCTATTCCTTTCCTTGTCTAATGCGTTTCTCTAGTGCTATCCTTATTTTTTCCCTGGTTTAGCTCGTTATACTAGTGCTATCCTTGTCTACCGCTGTTCGTTTCCTTGCATCCTCGTCATCCTTATTATATTTAATTGATACTTATAATAAATTTTTGAATGTTTTAACATTATTAATAATGTAAATAGTAAAATAAAAATATTTTTTTATACTAATCATATATAAACTAGATGTGGCAATTGTTTATAACAGTTGACTATACTCGAATACGATGCGTAGGGAACTCACCCATATAAAATTTAATAATGGGTAAACTAAACGGAATATGGTAATAAAACTTATATGGGAATGTAGCTAAATAAGTTGCCTTTCAAACGCATGTAGTCAGTTGTATGAGAATTTAGGGGAAAACTATGAAATTATTGAAAAACCGTGAAGATACTTGACGGTATGCGGTATCGTTCCCGACTTCCCGTAATAAAATTATTAATAACTAATTACTGAACGGTCCTAGAACCTTAAAACTTATACGTGAAAGTTCCTGAAGGTTCACACTTCATTCTTCAATACCAAAAGCTTACAGAATCATCCTCATTATCGAGTTATTAATGATTTTTCTCTGTCCGATTTGACGTTGCGTAAGCGACTGCCGTATCTGTCTCGATGTTAATATTAATAACTAATTACTGAAAGGTCCTAGAGCCTTAAAAATTATATGTGAAAGTTTCTGAAGGTCCACACTTCATTCTTCAATTCTAAAAATTCACAAAATCATGCCAATTATCGAGTTATTAACGATTTTTCATCAACCGATTTATTTAGGGCCTGGAAGATGGAGCATGGCGGCCCGCCAGCCAATAGGAAGCATTCTCTCTCTGTCCTTCTCGCACAGTGTTGCTTTCCTTGTCTAATACCTCTGTTTATATTGTGTGTTCCTATTAAAAAATCGTAGTTCGCGTCACCAAACGCGAGATGGCGATAGCCTCGACCGCCATTTTTTTTCTGCCCGTGTCTATCCATATTGATTTCCTTGTCTAACGCACGGCAATACCGCTATCCTCGTCTATACCTATTCCTTTCCTTGTCTAACTCATTTCTCTAGTGCTATCCTCGTCTTCCCCTACTTTTTTCCTTGGCTTACTCATTTATGTATTGTTAAATACCTGAACGAGTTATCCTTCATAGGAAGCATGATTAAATATAAATTAAGTATGTATTGGGACTGCGTGATAGAACTGTTCCCGATCTTTTGACAGCAGTAGTGGAACACGCGCATGCGACTAATAATCATCTACTAATAAACAATTACGTTGCTTTCTTATTTGTAATGTCATAGTTACGTTTAATTGTAAATGCAACCACTACTAATGTTGCAATCTTCAACTATGCTAAATCGGTAACGTTGAAAGCAAGAAGAAAATGTTAAGTGTCCTCTCGACCCCCGTTCCGGGTGACACAAACTGCCATAAGATGTTAGGTCTATCTTGTACGTAGTCTGTGCCTGTACGTCGCCTGTGATAATGTGAATATAATCAAATAAAATGATCCCACTTTATCTATTGTCAGCAACAGACCTCTTTTTACGATTCTTACAGATGTCTCTATAATCTGATTCGTAAAATAAGGACAAACTTTGCTAAATCGAAACGTTACTTTACGTAAATAAATTTTCTAGCTGCGAAGAATACTTAGTTTTGTCTAAATCTCATTTCCACCAACCAATCAAAATGTTAAACCGTACGATGAACGAACGTAAAGAACAACGTCAAACTTTGAGCAATTTCACGAAGAAAATCAATCGAGAAATTATAGAAACTGCTTCCACCTTGGATTGGACGATCGAAAGTATAGAAACTGATGTAAGTAGACTGATATCTTTCTAACGTGAAAGCAAAGCTATTCTATCGGGTATGCATCTGTTTAGAATGACAGCAGGCTTATTTGTCCATACGATCCTTCTCACCAAATGGGTAAAAAAATGTTAGACCAACATTTAGAATCTTGTCATTGGAAACAAGAAGGTTACAATGAATTTGATGTACCACTGCCTGAATCAACTTTATCCTTGGATTCGTATTCTTCCATAAAACTGGGTAATCATTCAATTTCTTTAATAACAAAATGATGACTCGTACATATGTATCGATCTAGCAACGTTATACTCAAGTTTACGATGAATCTGTTCCGATTACAGATTCACCATTACAAAATGCTATTTTGCAAGAAGCCAAGAGAATAGATTCAACCATGAATATTGGTTAGTACAATGTTTATCAGATATCCAAACATATCTTTTGCAACTTTTAAATTACTCAATTTTTTGCAGAAATTTATGAATGTCCTACTTGGCACAAGCTCTATATATCCTTTTTTATATTTTTTGCCAAAAATTTCAACAATATAGAATACCTACTTTATGTTTCCTTATTTAATTTCTCTCTCAAGTCTGTAGCTTCTTTCAAAACATGAATTCTTAACACTGATAATAGGTTTGGGTGAGCGATTAATTCCACGCACGTCCGATAGAATCTTCACAGATTTCACTTGCGACGAAAGGAAAGTTTTATATCAATATGTTGTTTCAAACACCGTGAAAACAGACATCGGTCATGATATTACCGATACTCATCAAGTGTAAGTTTACGTAGAACATGCTTAATTCTTTAACCTTTATATATATATATATATATATGTATGTACAACATTTTGATAAATACCGAAATGTTATTTCAGGAAATGTCAAGATAAAGAAGACAAGAAGTTATCCTTCTTAGAATTGCTTATACAAGAACGTAATTTAAAGAGACGAAGAGCGAAGCACAGAGGTGTGCACACAAATAAAAAGTCTCACACGGAAATTCTAAGGGAAGTTATACATCAGCAAATGGAGTTATATATCGATTATATAACAGAAACGCGTGCATCTAATCGCAGTACAAAAACCTCAGCTATTGCCGAAATGCAAACATCAGAGGGTGGGAATCTCGACGATATACAAACTTCAGCTCTGTCGGTTAACCAAGTTCCACCGAAACATCATCATAACCTCCTTGTCGAAGATTCCCAGGATTACAGCGAAAGTTCCAGTTCTCGGAACGAGCAGAAACACGAATACTTTGAAAAATCAAACGCTTCTTATGCAAAGGATTCGGAACGACGAGAAAAAAGTTCGAGAAAACTTCACAAACGTAAAAGATCTCGATCAAGGGAACGTGATCATGATAAAAAAAGTAAATACGAATCTTCGCGATCAAGTTATAAAAAAAATATGAAATCTTACGAAACTGGAAGAACATTAAATAGTAGTACATACTCCAAACGAAATATCGACCGTCGAAATAGTCGAGAGAAATCCATATTATAAATGTGAGAATTGTACGATTAATAATAATAATAATAAAGAATTCTCTATCTAAATAAGATTATCGTAAATTTCACGTTGAAATTCCTCTCTTTCCTATAATATCGAAAAGAAAAAGAAAAATCTTCGTTTCGGTCAAATTTAATTATCGAAATTATAATTAACTTCACAGCTTGAATGATAATCATCGATACTCGTCGTCGTCGTCGTCGTCGACAACCGAATCGCACATTAATAATTGCATGTTTTATTCATATCTAACGCAAGTGCTTACAGTATGTTAGATACTGTAAATACTTGAATCTTTTCAAATTTTGGTTAGGTTCGCTCTACGGTGTATAGCATACAATATACAACATGCTATATTTTACTATAGACAGAGTTAACCACGCGTTACCAAATTACCGCATATCATATCCAAGTATGTATGTATATACTTAGGTATCATATTACGTATTGTATTGTAGTTATGTAAAATTTCTCGATTTATTTTTTTGCATGTGTATCATTTAGTACATGTACTCGGTAAATTATGGAAAAGTACGAAGTTTTAAGACAAGTGGGCGAAGGATCCTTTGGACAAGTATACAAAGCAAAAAAACGATCCGATGGTCGAATCGTAGCTTTCAAAGTGATTCGAAAGGTAAGCAAACAAGTGTTGGTGATCACACACTTTAAATAATGCTTGTTTGCTTCGTTTTATTATTTTACACATTTTTTCTAAAAATAATTTTAAAAAGTGAATTTTATAACGCGATCACGTAGCGTGGTAGGTCATTCAAGGAACTAAAGAGCTTGCGACAAGAATGTCAAATTCAACGACATCTTCATCATCCAAATATAGTACAAATGCTTGATTCGTTTGAAACCGAGAACGAGGTACCAATATGATTCTCGAAAACGTTCGAAATTATGCATTTTATATTGCGTGAAATTCATCTGTCCCTTAGATAGTTGTCGTGACCGAGTATGCAGACAAAGAATTGTATGAAATATTAGGTAAAGCAGGTCGTTTGTCCGAACAAAGAGCGCAAGTGATAGCTTGTGATCTTGTGTCTGCACTCTACTACTTGCATTCCAACAGAGTATTGCACAGGTTCGATATTTCACCTCTTACAATGTTTCTCAATACTAACAAATTATTTCTGCTCTAGGGATCTTAAACCGCAAAATGTACTTCTTGAAAGCAACGGAGTGGCAAAGTTATGTGATTTTGGATTTGCTCGCAGTATGAGTACAGGGACACATGTACTAACTTCTATAAAAGGAACGCCGTTGTATATGGCTCCAGAACTTATAGAAGAACGTCCATATGATCATAATGCTGATTTGTGGTGTGTTAACTTTGTAAGGCATCAGGTCTGGCTGGGAGTACTTAACAAAATCTATCATATATAGCACGTAAAGCACTTTGATTCCAGGTCTCTTGGTTGTATAGTATACGAACTAGTCGTAGGTTCTCCACCTTTCCAAACTACTTCTATTCTACATTTAGTCAGATTGATAAGATTCGAAGCAATCAAATGGCCAGATTATATTTCTCAAAATTGCAGAAGCTTCTTACAGGTTCTAGTATATTTACAAGCTTTGACAGAATTTTCTTCTAGCTTATCTGTCAACGACAATGTTTTATCGGTAGGGATTGCTGCAAAAGGATCCATCGCAAAGACTAACCTGGCCGGCACTTTTAGATCATCCTTTTGTTAAAAATAGGATCGTAATAGTCGGCGGAATCGGACCCACACCATTCACTACACCTTTATCCGCGAGTCAGGCTAGGGAAAAACAGCTACAATTACGAAATTTGGAAGTGCAGCCTACTGATCACCAGTCCAAGTATAAATATATATTCGTAATTGTATAGAATTCGATATATTAAGTTTTTTATCGAGGAAGAAATAAGCGCTTACGCAAGTAATAAAGTAACATCGGGTGTCTTTTTCTAGTTCGTAAAGGTTCAACGATGAAAAAATTATATAATAATATAGATTTTTAGAGAAGGCTATCAAAAAGCTGCAGGAACACGAAAGAACACTCGAGGAACGGCGGCAAAGAATATTTACGTCACATTCTCGCTATCCAATACCACATGGATATTGTCAACATGAAATGAACCAATGTTACACTTTACGTCACAGCGAACCGAGCGGAACGGATTCTAGCACCAGTGTCGATGTACTTTTAGGAAATCTTAGTTTAAGGGCATCATTGAGAAGCGACTTACTCTCAGCAGATCGTGCATTATGCCGAAGCGATTGTCCAAACGGCATGAATTCGACGAGTAAAAGAACCGTTTTAACGTTCCAAGAGACGTCGAGAGTTCAGTTACCGATTCATTTGGATGAACAATGTCTAAAGGAATATCGAGGAGGAGGTGAAAGAGAAGGAGAAGGAGAAGAAAAAGAAGAAGCGGAAGAGGAAGAGGAAGAAGACGGTGAGGAAGAAGTGGTGGAGGTGGAGGAGGAGGAGGTGGAGGAAGTGGAGGAGGAGGGGGAGGGGGAGGAGGAGGAGGAGGAAGAAGAAGAAAAAGAAGATGAAGAAGATGAAGAAGAAGAAGAAGAAGAAGAAGAAGAAGAAGAAGAAGAAGAAGAAGAAGAGACCGAGAAGAGCAACGAAGTGAAAAGTAATGCGGAAAGTGCGTCGAATCGCTCGTCGAATCAGATCGTTTCTCGAGAAACCGAAACTATTCACGCAGAAAGAATCGTTCGAAACATGGAGTACGCGTACGATCACAAACTAAGTTCTCGAAGGGATGATTCAACGAATGCCGGTACATCGTATAGCAACAGATTACCCGATTGGAGTCCAAAAGCTGTCGAAAGACCGATCGAAAACGAAGAATGGATAGCTTTCTTGCAACGATCCATGGAAGAAATAATAGATGGTGAAGTGGGATCGTTACTTCAGCAAAACTGCGTGTCGGTATTTGTATCGCCGTTGAGAAATCCAGCAGCGGGTTGTCGAGTCGTTGAATACGTTGCTTGCCTTTTATCTTTACCGTTCGTTATATCCGTGACGAAAGACTCTCTCGAGAAAATCACACGAGTCTACCTGGACGTTAGAGTCGTGCCAAATCTCGTTTATTCTTTGAAGCTTTTGATGTCTGAGCGTTCAGAGTCCGAAGCGAGGAAAAAATCGGACACGGCAAACGTAAATGTCAGACCGGCGTCTACGCTGTCCGCGGACGAACTACAAACATTGGAATGTACGATGCTTGTACTTTGTAGATTAATTTACAATCGACAGCAATTTCTTACTCAATTCTGCGATGCTATTTATATCGTGAATGGTGTGGCATTGCTACAGCAATTGTTAAGTTTAGAAAAAAGAAAGGCACGCGTAGTCGTGGACCTCGTTGCAATTTTAAACAATATATTACGTTCTCAGCCTGAAAATGCTCATCTCGTGGAAAAAGTTATTCTTCGTTCGCATTTACCGGGTGAGTTTGCCCAGATGAAATTCATCATCTCTCTCTCTCTGTCTCTGTCTTTATCGTCACGTTCTAATACCAATGAATCCTTTCCCCATAAAAAGGTAGTTCCGTAGAACAACTTGGTAAACTGCTGATGCATCGACATGCAGCACTCAGAGCTAGAACTTGTCATTTGATTAGACTGTTGGGCAGATTTTCATGCAGAGCTTTGCAACAAATCTGGTGCAAGTCTTTAAAGAATTTGATAGAAAACTCAACTACCGATGACGATGGAAGTGTAAGGCTTGTAAGTAGCAAAATCCATACTTGGAGCAGTTATTCTGTTGCATAGATTGGGAAATACATACGAGGTATAATTTCAGGCAGCTGAATACGCAGTCAACGAATTAAAGGAATTAATGTACTACAATCAACAAAATCCTGTTACTTGATGCATTTTCTTCAAATATCTTAATGTTTCTTCTTTTGTACACGATACGAAATATGAATATTATTCTTTTTTTACCGAACCTAACAACATCCTGTGGTTATTTTTTCGTGTTATACGTATAAGAGGAAGTTGATCGAAATTGTCCAAGTTAAGTAGGTACCGAAGAAAACTACCGAGAATATTAACCTTAGGCTAAATTAAATATATCCAATCGATGGACACATCGTCCGATGAATCGTTGCTATCCACGTTTCCCTGGACTTCTCGGTCGTGACATTCCGTTTTATACATTTCTTGCAACTTTAGCATATCCTTTCCACTGAGTCCTTTTCGTTGGCCAAGTTTCACCTTTTCCTTCTACGAAGATTGAACGAACGAATGAAAGAAAGGAGGGAGCGATTAGCGGACTATTCATAATATGTATTATACTTACTTTCGGCGTAATAGTTGGTTCGCCGTTTCTTGAAAACGCATGCGAACTGTAATGCATTACGCTGGTGTAATCGTAACCGATTCCATAGTCTGTGACCGTCTGATTGTCGTACTTGTTAAAGTTGTGCTCCTTGCCTGCGTAAACGATAGGAAGTATGTACATGTAGAGTGCAATGTGAATCGGGTGGGTGTCTGGAGTAGGAAAACGATCGAGAAAATCACCTGACTTTACGTTTTCCCAATTGATCGTAACCCATTGGTCGCGATCCGCGGCACTTTGTTGATGATAAAAGCCTAACGCGTGCATAAGCTCATGCACAATCACACCATGGTGTACGCACCCTGGGTTCTGCAAATTCACTACTTGTCCATGATCGTGTCTACCAACTAGGGACCAACAGCCTGACGATTTTCCTTCTATAGTGATGTAATCCTTATCGGTTTTCCGATAAGGACGAAATCGTATACACGTATTCTTGTGATACTCCTTTATAGCACCTTCGATTAATTCGACGTCCTCCTCATCTGCGATGGTACAACCATGTAGAATCGTGTACATTTATAGAAGAAACGTGGTAATTAACCGGATACATTACCAAAATCCTCCTCCTTTATGTAATAAGGTACAAGCCCACCCGACCAACGAAACATCGTATTCGATAATCCATTCTTTCCAGCACCATCCTGCTGCTCCTTCTCCTCCTCGTCGAGCATCATATCTCCTTCGTACAAGCCGCTCAGTTCCCAAACGTTCTCTTTGTCCGTTCTTCTCCAAGATCTTACACGATTCGCTGGCACCGATGGAAAAAGGAAAAGGACAAATCGTTTCTACCTTATCTCTATCAATTACGATCACATACCGATGGTCTGATGCTGGTGGCTTTCGCCGAATGTGCCTTGAAATTTCGGCGTCGGAGGGACAATTTTTCGCCGGATACTTGGATCTGTCGCTTTCGAATTGGCTCCGATTCCCATTGTTACCATCATCAACACCGACACCAACACCATACTTACTAATTCACTTTTTATCCAGCAGTACATTTTTCTACGACATAAATAGTACCTATGCACTTGTTGGCGTGATGTTTCTGTCTGCTCCTTACTGTCCTCGTCCAAAAGGTAAATCGAGTGCAAAACGTATGCGGCAACACTCCATATTTTTATATGCAAACCGAGGTACGTATACGCGTATTCTACCCTCGTCTCGTGTATCTCATTATCAAACGTTACACACTTGGTAAAAGTTGCTCGTACCCGATATGTACAATCATTTCCGTCCATCTCCCAGCGTTTCCTTTTCCCACGAATTCGTTCAATTAATTTTCGTTAGTATCGTAGCGAAATGACGTATCGTGAAATATATCCGTTCCATTTTATGTACACCTATTTCTTCTCCATTTCTTTCCAACGTACCTAATCGGTATCGATGCAAATTTGGGAAAAGAGATATAGTTATCAGATCACGAGGAGAATACCAAAAGGATTGATTGGTCGCGTAGTCTGGTTAGCGCCATACTACCGGTGTTCTCCTCCTATTGTAGAATACGGGGTGTTCTGTTGTAAAATCATGGATCGATCGATCTTCAAATCTTCACGAGTTCCAAGCTCGTTCCAAACGAGTTCATTCGATCAGTTTAATTTTCTTTCGAATAAAAGTGAATAGAAGAAGGGAAGTCGAAAAACGAGGACGAACCTAATGTACCGGTACGTATACCGAATCTTCGATATGCCGATATTCCAAATGCTCGAGGCAATGACGATCATCGTTGGTATCTTGGATCTAGGTCAAAATGATTCGGTAGTTGACCGTGTAATTCAGTACATGGACATGTCATCTCGGAATCGTTTCGGGCCTTTCCCTCCTGATCTCATGCTCTCTTGCTATGCATGCATCCTTGTTCGCAGGTCTTTCGATCGCCACGGTCGTTACCACTGCTACCACATTTACATATACTCTGAAAGACAGAAGAAAAACCTTATATCATTATTCAACTGGTAGTTAATACTGTGTATCCTTTTTCCCCCTCCCCTATAAGTACGTAGTTGGTGTGCGTGTGTTCGATATTTCCTCGCAATCGAAGCAACTTCATCTTGATCTGCAAGAACACCACCTTCTCTCGACGAAGAGAAAAACCTTGTCGAAATGTTATCTGGATGGATGAAAGGAAGGGTATTTTTATCGGACGGTTTGCAACGATCGACCCTTTCCGAATCTATTATACATAGAAACGATACGTGAAAAGATGTGGAATGGACCGTGTCGCGTGTCGAAGACAATCAATGGCAAACTTGTAATCATGCTTGAAAATCTCCTGAAAGAGCGATCGAAGCAAGGTCAATGACCAGCCTGTTCCAGATTCAAGTAGGAGCTCCACGTAGCCTAAATTCTAACCGGATTTCTTGGAACCGCAAGCGAGCAGAATGGTTCTTTCGCGTTTGTTGCAAAGAGTACCTACACCTTTTTACGAGTGATATGTACATCTAACGATCGAATCCGCCGAGTATTTGTCTGTTCGCTCTCGTATTCGAATCCTCTCCTCTTTTTCCGCTCTGCAAAACCACGATCTTCCTGGTTTTGTAAGAGAAACTATGATTTTTCCTGCAGAAAGTTCACGGAATGCTTGAAATTTTCGAAAAGAAACCGGTTTTTTTACGTTTCAACTTGGACGGTGCGGAATGAATTGGCAGAATAGGTGTTTGAATGAAAATTCATTGGAAATAGAGTACGTGAACATATTCGGAAAAATGTTTCTCGTTCCCCTCGAATCTGTTCTCGAAAGAGATACTACATATGTACAATGTCGGTTGTTGGTGAACCACTGACCCACTGGGACCGCTTCGAAGTATCAGCGGGATCGTCTGGACGGGAACGTGTACTTCGGTAGCGCGTACATTGACCAAAACCACACTCTTTTGCGGTTCAGTGACCTCGCGCGTCCAGCCTCCACACACATTCTACCTCTTTCTTTTTCATTTTATCCTTCTCTTTCCCATTCTTTTACATATCTGTTTTTCTCTTACCTTCATCTATCGTTGCAAATACACATACCTGGAAAAACTATAGATCACCCAAGTAATAATAACTGCAACGTAAGGGAAGAAGGTAATGCATATTGAATGGTACGTGCAAGCACGTGGCTACTGGGCCGTTATCTAGCGGACCACGCGCAACCATGCCCTCTGCTTTCAGAACCATAAATTCATTTCTACTCTTCTAATTCGTTTCCCTCCTATTCTCTTTACGCCTTCCGTCTTTCTTCTCCTATCCCCTTCCTCCTCCTCCTCCTCCCCATCCTGATTCTCCAAACGGTACTTCCTTCCTTCCTTCCTTCCTTCTTTTATTTCGTTTCTTTTCGAAGGGTTCATAGAGGAAGGAAGGGTGGGAGGGAGGGTGGACTAGAGTAAAAAGGAACTGTTATCTATCCTGTTTGTTATGTCCCCCTCCGGTGATCCGCCATCTCGATCGACTCCCTCCAGCCCCATACTCCATACCCCTCTCCTTTTCTCAACGATACTCGTTCAGGTAGCGAGGATTTCCGAACTCTCGACTCGGTCATACACCTGTGAGAGTGAAAGTGTCCTCCATCCCCACTAAGTTTTATACCGTGTGGCCACGCTTACGAACACCAGCCCCGGCACCAGAAGCGACGCACCGCTACCGCTATTATCGCCGTCATCGGCTATTGCTGCTGCCTCTATCGTAATCTATACGACTGCATTCTTGTCGTTCTCGTTACCGCCACAACATTATTTATTCCTCCGCCCCCTTTCCACCCCGACTCTATCATCATCTTCATCTTTACTTGACTCGATCGAGAGTACTCTTTCCGTTCAGTCGGTACGGTAAGGTCGATTTAACTAGACAGAGAATAACGCGAGTGGAATTAAAAACCGCCCGCGTGAGGCTTCTGCGAGACTGAAGGAAAGCTTCCACTTTCGAGTACGTCGACCCCCGTATCTTCGTACCCGCTCGTCAAACAGACCAAATAATATCTTTCCGATGTACATACACATACATACGACGCACTACTGTTCAGTGACGAGGGATCGTGGACATATCGAAGAGAGAAAGAGAGAGATCGAAGGAGAGGAGAGTATTGGAAATCTACCGGCGATTACCATCAGTCAAAATGGCACAGTTTTACAGGGTGTATAGACCCGTGGTAGTTTTCACTCGATCTCAAGCAATAAACCCAGAAACAGCAGCCGGGGCCGTCGATACACCCACCTTCTTTTATGGGGCAACGAACTCTCTCTCTACTCGTACCGTATCACCACCACCAGCGTAGTGACACTCGTAACGAGAGTTGGCTTGTTCGCTTGTTCGCTTCTTCGCTTCTTCGCTTCTTCTTCAATCAATCAATCAATTTATCAATTATCATTTCATCGATACATCCGAAACTTCATTTTCTCCAAATGACTCGAGAAATTTTCATTCGTCGAATATCTGAAATGCTTCGATATGGTTTTACGTAATAGTTAAGAAACACCAACTGTTTCTTAATTATCGCCTCTCTCGCCGAGAATATTTCTTTCGGTTTCGGACGGGGTCGACCCGTCCTGCATCAGATACCAAACGGCACAGCGGTGGTATGCCTGCGAAGTACGAAAGTCGTGAAAATAGCGTATTAACGAAATTAGCATAAGAGGAGAAAGTCGCGGTCGTCGGCCGCACGACCACCTTTGGTTCAACTGCCGAATCTGTGAATTCTCGTGTGAACGGCTCTCGCGACAGAAAGATCGGGGTACGGCGACAACGAGTAACCAACCATTCGAAAAGAGAACTGTGTTTGTGCGCACACACGCGCATGTGGATGTCCACGGAATCAGAGAAAAGAAGAGAGGAAAAGAGAGATTCGCTGCGAACAAATCCAATACCACCAATTTCTCTGCTTCAGACACGCAAATGATCACCGCGAAATTTATGCCTTCCTACCTTTTGTATCGTTCTTCGACATCGCGATCCATTTTCTTCCAAATCAATCTCCAACTGTTTAATCGAAAACGATTGCAGTCGCATCGAGTCGAGTCGAGTTGAGTCGCGTCACGATACAACACGTACGCACACTGATAAACCTGAGAAATTTATCGAGGAGAAACGATGATCTCTTGCAACCAAAGAAAAGGACCCTAACCTTGATAACTGGATTCAGCCAATGACCCCAATCGATCGTTGCCCCCGTTCTACCTGCTTACCGCAAGAATTAGAGGATGCAGGTAGTTAGGCCTATGCGCCAATCCTGCTTTGCGTTTTGCCATCAACCTTCCTCTAAAAAAACCGGCCCGTCTAAAAATCCCCGTTCCATCTGCATCGTCTGCAATGGTAAAAATGATGGAAAAAGTACTTCCTTCTTTCCTACAATTAACCTGTTGCAACCATTTGAACGGGAGTCGGGTTGTATCCGTGATGGTTTGTCCGTGAAGAGCAACGATCACCATAGAGTTCGTTATACCTCTGAAAGAGAAACGACAAAAAGCTACCGTCACCAACCAACCAACCAGCCAGCCAGCCAGCCAGCCAGCCGTTCGTGTTTTGCCAACCGGCGGTCCTTGGAGAAAAATTCGTTTCATCGAACCCAAAGTAGTCGTCCTTAGGTTAAATGAAAAATAATGAAATTATAGTTAAACAGTTGAGCAACCTAAGCTATCGAAGATGCAAGTCCAGTTCGGGTAGTACATTCATCGATAAAGCTCCGATTCTATTGAACTTTTCGGTGAAAATGACCAGTTTTCCAGCGGAGGAGGAGAGAGGTGTCGTTGCTATTCCTCCATGTTCCCGACACAAAAGAAACGAGATAAACGTAACGAGTCAGCGGAGCTGTAAGTGCAACGAACGCACACACACACGGATTCAACTCACCGCGAATGACCTTTCTCGGTCGTTGCACGTTCAACGGATACGACGGAGGCACACGTCCACTTGGTCCCATCGTGTTCATTACCGATTCATCCTGATCTACCTTTATACTCGCCTTGATAACGATACACCACGACGTGGTCTGCGTCGAGAGAGTGAACGCCGTCGCCGACGCGACGCGACGCGACGCGACGCGAACAAATTGCTAATGTCAATATAAAAATCGACGGTAATATCAGAAAGACCGTGTAAAAACCCGTCCATCTCCCCCTTTACCTTTTCCAATAACCTATCGTTATTGCTTTGGTTTCGCGGTACATATGTATGTATGTATGTATGTATATCGCGAAAACAAGTTGAACGTGAACTCGCCGCTCGTCGGATTGGCAAGTAACGTCGTGCTTACGCAATTTCTGCTGATCACAACGAAAGAAATGATAGCCATCGTCGGTAACACGATAGTGGTAACGGTGTGCGCAGCTGTGAACACCGTACAAGACGAAAAAGGAATCTCTATATTCCTCTCGTTGAGGTGAAAAAGAAGTGAAAAAGAAAAAGAACAAAGCCACTCCGAAAAATGAGTACGGTCAGCTTCTATGTATATATTTTATTTACCTACCTACTACCTAGTTTTGTGAAAAGGGTCAGGCTTAGGTAAAGGCATTCCAGCATAATGGAGAAAGAGGAGGAGGTGTGTTGGAACCTACTACAGAGGTATCGAAAAGTGAAAACGAATCGAGAGAATTCAGCCAGGTACTACTCTGTAGGAGACGACGACGGACGGACACAGGTATTCGCATCGGCCATTTCCATTTCGAAACATTTTTCCTTTTTGATCGTGAAATTGAACGCGGAGCAAAACGTTTGAAATCAGGCTAAATGGAAGAAACTGACCAAGATGCGTTCGTAGAATAAATTTCGATCGTGTCGGTAGTCGGTAGTGTCGCGATTATGTAGCCGATGTGTAACAATTGTAAAGCAGTCGATCGGCTATTTGATAGTCAAAATTATTCGCTCCTTTTCCTGCCCGTTTTGTCAGCCTCGACAGATAGACGGTACGAACGTGATAATGATCGCACGATGCGTAAATGGATCCTCGAATCGTATACCGTGTTCACGGATCGCTCGATAGTCGCTCGATCGCTGTCGTTGGGATTGCACGATACATTCTCTCTTTGGCGACGTCGCGTCGTTTCGTTTCGTTTCGTTTCACGTACGCGTAACGGCCGTCTCTCATACTTGTCGTATCGTTCGTTGTCACTTGTCTCAGACGTATTATCTTCTCCGTTGCAGGTAAGACAGCAACATCAGCTCGACCGACGACGAATCAAACGGCCAGCAGGATATTAGCAGCGGTGAGGGAACGCGATGAGTTTCCTTTACGCGATACTCTTCCTATCCTTTTCCCTATTCCTATGTGTTTTTCTGAAGAATCGAAAGGTGCGTCGTCATTTGCCTCCTGGTCCTTGGCAACTTCCATTCGTTGGCTACCTTCCATGGATCGACGAGGAAAAGCCGCACGAAACGCTGACGAATCTCACCAGAATATACGGTCCTGTGTGTGGACTTCGTATGGGTTCCGTCTACACTGTTCTATTGTCGGATCCCCGACTAATTAAACAGACTTTTGGGAAGGATGCGTTCACGGGCAGAGCACCGCTTTACCTTACACATGGGGTTATGCAAGGATACGGTATGTTTCTTCTCCTCTTTCTTACTTTTATCATCTACGTATATACAATATAATACATACACCAGCAGCGGCGTTTCATTTCTAAGCGACGAGGACGACGAGGGCGACGAGGACGACGACGACGACGACGACGACGACGACGACGACGACGACGACGACGACGACGAGTCCTGTCCTCGAGCTTTTTCCCCCTCTTAAAACATTTCTCCGACACGCGTACTCCCACCAACCGTTTTTATTTCTCGCGTTTCTTCCTTTTTCTCTCTCTCGCTCGCGTACCTACTTGTTGCAATATTTTGCACTCCGACATCGAGAATGCGACACTCCCCCATCCTTTACGCGAGAATATCTTGCATGGACAACGAAGGACTCTCGCTTTCGATACGAGTCCGATCTCCTTGAAGGAAGTTTCCCCGATCATCGATGCTTCTGCGCTGCATCAACGAGAAATTACAGTTAACTCGGCAAGGACGTTCCGACGGCCTTTCTTACTCACTCGGCAGAAGGAGGCAGAGAGATAGAGGAGGGACGAGGGAGAGGAATAGTGGTGTGGGAGCAAAGGCGGGCAGGGCGGAGGTGGGAGAAATTTGCATTCGAGACAAGTTCGATGTTTAGTAATTGGTAATAATTTTTGAGAAATTGGCGAAACCGGTGAAAAAGATTTTTCATCGGATAGATAGGAATGTTGGAGAGGTTACGGTAACAACACAACTACTTCAACGTAGCGAAGTGGATGTGAGACGAGAGGAAAACGACGAATCTCAATTTTAGCATACCCGTCTGCGAACATATTTCTGCAATTGCTCACCGGTGGAATGACCGACCCTGAGAACTTCTATCGCGTGAACGCATTATCATCTGGCAACAGCTATTTCAATTTATTCCTCGCGATTCGCCAACTCGTCTTGCCAACTGCGCTACGTATGTATCGAATCTGACCTACGACCAACCATTCTCTCCCCGCTCCTTCTCATCTCATCTCCGCTCCAGCCGTTATCCTCGAAACACACACTGATTAAACGAACGTAAGTAGGTACTCTATATGTCGGTTAAGAAAGGTCGATCGAGCGTGCCGGGATCGGGCCTGGTGCCCGTGCGTTGCACACCCGAAAACTACCTCCTCTTCCTTTTTACGAATGTACCTATGTACCTATGTACCTATGTACCACCGTGCATACAAATGGCAATGCGAATGAGATCAAGAAAAAAGGAACGCAAGGATAGAACAAAGCGACAAACAGAAGGAGGAGTGGGCGAACCGATTACGGTGTCCGCAAATCTGCCGGAGGGGGAGGAGAGAGGGCGAGAAGAGGGAGCACGCATGTAGAAGCATAGGTGGGGGAGTGGGTGCGGTAAGAGATTATTGTTTATTCACTCGATGATTATCCTTCGATGAGTTCAACGGCTGCGCCTACTTACCGCGCCGAGTACGGTCTCTCTACTAATAGATATACTATACATACTCGTTTCTTGCCCGTATCCTTCCCCGTCGATGCGGCGGCAATATGTATCTCCTGTTGCTTTGAAAAGAGGCGCGAGAGACGGGACCAATTTGCATTACTTTGCGCAGGTCTAGTTTGTGCCGAGGGCGAACGATGGAGAGATCAAAGAAAATTCGTCAGCAACTGTTTGCGAAACTTTGGAATGGTAAAACACGAAGGACCGAGGCGAGAAAAAATGGAGAAAAGGATATTGGATGCAGCCAACGAATGCGTATCGGTACGCATCGATTATATCGCATTTCGCGTTCGATGTGATCGCGCAAAAACTATTCGGAACGATTTTCACATTATGCGTGTGTATACCGCGCGACAGGTACTGGGAAACCGGGCGGCGAATGGACCGATGGATCCACTCGACTCGCTACATCACTGCATGGGCAATCTTATTAATAGCATCGTGTTTGGGAAAACGTACGAGGAAGATGAACAAGTGTGGAAATGGCTGAGACATTTGCAGGAAGAAGGTGTGAAGCAAATAGGCGTCGCTGGCCCTCTCAACTTTTTACCCTTCCTCAGGTACATATGTACATGCCGTTGCAAGCGGTTGCAAACCTGTCGTAAGTATAACGGAAGAGTCTTTGTTAGATTTCTACCAAGATACGGACGAACGATACGGTCTATCGTTGATGGAAAGGAGAGAACGCATGAAATATATCGAGGTATACTGGACGAATATCGTGCACGAATCACCACGCAAACGATAGAAGAAGCAAATACAACTGAGAGCTTTTTAGCAGCATTCGAGGAACAAATGAGAAAGAGAGACACCGCCGAGTCTGGCTATTACACCGAACCTCAACTCTACCATTTGTTGGCGGACCTTTTTGGTGCCGGAACCGACACCACTCTTACTACCCTTCGTTGGTTCCTTTTATTCATGGCTGCCTACCCTACGGAACAGGTACGTTCACAGCACGAATAACGAGATATGGGATACATAGTCACGCACACATGCGAGTGTTGCAATACTCGATTACGCAGGAAAAGGTCCAATCGGAGATGGATCGATGTTTGAAGGAACGAGAGCAACAACCGACTTTGAACGATCGAATCGCCATGCCTCGTCTTGAAGCTGCTTTAGCCGAAGTGCAAAGATTAAGGAGCGTTACGCCTCTCGGTATCCCACATGGAACGTCAGAGGTAAGTATGTAAGTATGCACATATGTATGTACTATGCAGACATACTTATCCGACAGGATGGTAAACTTTGTTCAGGACACGCGAATTGGTGATTACGATATACCGCGAGGTGCTATGGTCGTGCCGATGCAGTGGGCCGTTCATACCGATCCTGCTTACTGGCAACATCCTTTCGAGTTCCGACCCGACAGATTCCTCGCCGAGGATGGAACTTTCTTCAAACCGGAATCGTTTCTCCCCTTCCAAAGTGGTAATTATCTTTAACTTTCCTCCCAATTCTCCTTCTCATCTTTCCTCTGCCGCCTTCACTTTTCCTCTTCTTCATGTTCAAAGGGAAACGCGTCTGCGTTGGAGAAGAACTCGCTAGGATGATACTATTTCTCTTTGCCGGAAGGATACTACGTGCATTCGTTATATCTGTACCACCCAACGAACCTGTCGATCTCGAAGGCGAGTGTGGTATCACACTCGTTCCAAAACCACATCGCTTGACGTTTGTCAGAAGAAATCTGTAATCTCTATACCGAGCAACGGAATAAACGAATTTTTCATACTTAATGCCCGTTCCTCTACCTCTTTTACCATCTTCGCTCCAACGAACTCGTTTGTGGATTTCGAGAGAAGCTACATTCTCCTTCTCCTCCTCCTTGTCCTCCCCCTTTTCTCCATAGGAAAAGGAGAGCAGAAGAACGCGTAGGAGAAGGGAAAGTGAAAATAGGGAACAGTTAAGACGGGCAACCGGATCTAATAGAGGTGAGAAACGTGTAACATCAAAGTAAGAGAAAGGTAGGAACACGATCTTACGTGTAATTGCACGTAATGCACGTAATCGTTTCCAACGCCACGTCGCGAATGAAAATCGGTGCGCGTGGTTAATCAGCGGTTAAATGGGAAACGTGATATTTAGGGTGAAATCGGTATATCGAACGAAAAGTAGCGTGTTTAATGATAATCGTTAGAAAATAGGATAACATTAAATAACACAGATTCGCGGTCGGCGGGTGAACACAATGCGTGTTTCGAGCATGCCACATGGAAATTTCATATCGGTGAATACACACGAAGCATCGACGCGCAATCATATCTACTAATAGTAAGCAAGTACATACACGTTGGATAAAAGACAACGAAGCAAAGGGGGAGGATAGTAGAAGAGGAACTGAGGGGAGCTCGCGCCGATGGTTCGTCGGCTTTCGCCAGACACGCAACGAAATAATCTTTGGAAATGATTTTACGATCGCGATATCACAGGGGTCTCGATGATCCCATGTCCTAAATTCGAGATTCACAGCCTTAATCTTTGCCCGCAAATTACCCAACGGATCGAGTTCGATATATCGGTGTCTTCAATTCTGAAAACGCTACGTAACTACACTGTGTGGTGTCGCAAGAATCTCGTTCTAACTTTCACGAAAATCACTGTTCTAGGTCAATAGACGGCGTTCATCCAACGAACGCACAGCCCTACGATCTAATCCATTCGAATTTGGTCGCGTCGAAACTTTCCAACGATAAGGGAAAAAGAATTCGGAGACGAAGGTAACCTCGCGCTCTCGTCGACCGCCACTATCACTATATAATACGTGATAACCTATCATTTCGGACACAGTTGCCGTGCACACACTCACAGGACATTTGTTACACAGTATTTTATGAACTCGTTCACACACCTCCACATTCTTCTTATTCTAGCATTACCACTATCGCTATCGTCGATATTCTCATTATTACATATTATCATTACCATTGCAGCTGCTGCTGCTAAAACCTCTAATTCTACGATTACTCTTACTGCATGCTACTATTACCACTATCGATACCACTTATTTCGAATATTACCGTTACTGATATTTCCGTCGTTGCCATTGCTATTTACAAGTCTTTTCTCTCTTCTCGGGTCTGAAAAACGTCAAAAATTATCCAACCGCAAACATTCGTACGTCCAACATACCTACAACTTTCGGGTAACGCTAATGACTAAACGCTAACGCGAATAAATAGAATGCGAAATGATGGCTAAACGCTTATTTAGCGAGCGCGAAGAAATGACAAAATACAAAAGGAACGAACAGACACATGCACGCAGGCAGGCAGGCAGGCAGGCAGGCAGGCAGGCAGGCAGGCAGGCAGGGCAACCGGATCTAATAGAGGTGAGAAACGTGTAACATCAAAGTAAGAGAAAGGTAGGAACACGATCTTACGTGTAATTGCACGTAATGCACGTAATCGTTTCCAACGCCACGTCGCGAATGAAAATCGGTGCGCGTGGTTAATCAGCGGTTAAATGGGAAACGTGATATTTAGGGTGAAATCGGTATATCGAACGAAAAGTAGCGTGTTTAATGATAATCGTTAGAAAATAGGATAACATTAAATAACACAGATTCGCGGTCGGCGGGTGAACACAATGCGTGTTTCGAGCATGCCACATGGAAATTTCATATCGGTGAATACACACGAAGCATCGACGCGCAATCATATCTACTAATAGTAAGCAAGTACATACACGTTGGATAAAAGACAACGAAGCAAAGGGGGAGGATAGTAGAAGAGGAACTGAGGGGAGCTCGCGCCGATGGTTCGTCGGCTTTCGCCAGACACGCAACGAAATAATCTTTGGAAATGATTTTACGATCGCGATATCACAGGGGTCTCGATGATCCCATGTCCTAAATTCGAGATTCACAGCCTTAATCTTTGCCCGCAAATTACCCAACGGATCGAGTTCGATATATCGGTGTCTTCAATTCTGAAAACGCTACGTAACTACACTGTGTGGTGTCGCAAGAATCTCGTTCTAACTTTCACGAAAATCACTGTTCTAGGTCAATAGACGGCGTTCATCCAACGAACGCACAGCCCTACGATCTAATCCATTCGAATTTGGTCGCGTCGAAACTTTCCAACGATAAGGGAAAAAGAATTCGGAGACGAAGGTAACCTCGCGCTCTCGTCGACCGCCACTATCACTATATAATACGTGATAACCTATCATTTCGGACACAGTTGCCGTGCACACACTCACAGGACATTTGTTACACAGTATTTTATGAACTCGTTCACACACCTCCACATTCTTCTTATTCTAGCATTACCACTATCGCTATCGTCGATATTCTCATTATTACATATTATCATTACCATTGCAGCTGCTGCTGCTAAAACCTCTAATTCTACGATTACTCTTACTGCATGCTACTATTACCACTATCGATACCACTTATTTCGAATATTACCGTTACTGATATTTCCGTCGTTGCCATTGCTATTTACAAGTCTTTTCTCTCTTCTCGGGTCTGAAAAACGTCAAAAATTATCCAACCGCAAACATTCGTACGTCCAACATACCTACAACTTTCGGGTAACGCTAATGACTAAACGCTAACGCGAATAAATAGAATGCGAAATGATGGCTAAACGCTTATTTAGCGAGCGCGAAGAAATGACAAAATACAAAAGGAACGAACAGACACATGCAGGCAGGCAGGCAGGCAGGCAGGCAGACAGAGAGACAGACAGACAGACAGAAAGACAGGCAGAGACAGACAGACAGACAGGCAGACAGACAGACAGACAGACAAACAGACAGACAGGCAGGCAGGCAGACAGGCACACATACAGTAAACAGAGAAGAGAAAAGGATGAAATATGGTGATGTGTAAGAGGTTGAACCAAGAGTGTGTAGGCGGAATGAATGGAATGGAATGGAATCGAATGTAATGGAATCGAATGGAATCGAATGGAATCGAATGGAATGGAATGGAATCGAATCGAATCGAATCGAATCGAATCGAATCGAATCGAATCGAATCGGATCGAATCGAATCGAATCGAATCGGATCGGATCGGTCGCATTAGGAACGACTACCGTGCTCCGCGTTGATCGTTGTGATTGAATCAATAACTGCCGATGTTTCGAAGGATGACACCGGGAGAGATGACATCGTTGCTCGCATCCTCGATGAGATCCATGTTTCTCGGTAACAAACAAACGTCAAAGGGATCCGGCGTGACTGTGACACCGGCGTTACCGCGCAAGCTCGGCAAGGACGAACCCTGCGGCGATCGCAACTCGAACGTGTGCATCAACGAACTAAAGAACAGGAATAATTCCATGCGTGCCAACACATCGCCCAGGCACATACGTCTGCCGACACCGAAAGGCATAAAGTATTCCGGTTTCTGGACTTTACCTTCGACCGAGAGAAACCGACTCGGTCGAAACTCCTCCGGCTTCTCCCAAAGCTCTGGATCCATGTGTACGGCGTGCAGCAACGGCACCACTTGAGATCCAGCCGGTATCGTAAAACCGTGTAACGTCACATCTCTGAAACATTCCACGAAAAAACACCATTGTTAACACATACGACCAAAACAATCCTTTCCCGAAATTCTATCGTGTTTAAGGGGATAAATCGGAGAGAAAACTGCCTTTATTATCGTATTAATCACCTTGTGGTTGCGTGTGTCGTTCCTAAGGGGACTATGCTCGATCTTCGAAGAACCTCGAGTATCGTTGCCTCGCACAGCAGTTGCCGCTTCCGGATGATGCAGCATCAAAATTATCGCCCATTCTAGCGTGGTCTTTACAGTTTCCATGCCAGCGGAGAACAAGTCGCCGAGTATTTGTTGCATTTGTCGATCTGTCCTCGCAAAGATGGTAAACAGAAAAGGTAGGAAATCTCCACCAAAGACACGCGATATCAACCACTCGCCCGCCGCGCCGTTTCATTCACTCACCGTGATTCTTTCCTTGGAAAAGCGTGCTCGCACGACCTTCTCCCTTCGCTTTCTCGATCTCGAGTAAGTACGCGTCAACGAGGTCCCGTACGGTTGTTTCGTCGAAAGTTGCTCGATGTTGATCGACTGCCTCTTGAAAAAAGTCGGCCATTTCCGCGCGATTCTGCGATATTTTATTCCGAACCTTTTGCAGACAAGGCAAGTAACGCATCATAGGGATAAAGTTCACAGCAGCCATACTGCCAAACAGTTTGAAGCCTTCCTCGATCAAGTCCATAAATCTCTTGAACCTAACGTCTCCATGTTGGAAACGCACTCCCATTATGATCGAACAAATTACATTGCTGATTGACATTCCGAGGGAGGCTGAAACATCCGTCGCTGCACCCCGTTTCGATGCCAGTCCGTGAAGAAATGTCTTGACTTCGCGCTAAAATCAAACGCGATTTCGTTTAGCTTTCTCCCTATATACGTATACACATATGTAGAGGAGGAGGAGGAACGACGACGCGTCCAAGCGATCAATTCGTCGACAGGCATGCGAGTATAATACAATACGCTTGTGTGTATACGATATGTGTAATACGGAAGAAAGAAAACTTGAGAGAAGAGGGAAGACGAATTTCGTTCAAATGTAACGCTCACCATGATTCTCGATTCCATAATTTTCTTTCCACCGCCCATATAGGTCATGCCGAAGCTTCTGAGTTTATCGTGAAGAAATTTTCTTTGGTCTTTCCACATAGCACCTTCGGTGTTGATAATACCTACGAGAGAAAAACTCTTCAACTCCAAATATCAGACGAAAACTTTTCTTCTCTTTCTTTTCCTCCTCTTTCTTTTTTATGCGTAAACAATCACGGAATCGAAAAAGTCGGTGACGCGGAGAATCACTTACTGCAATAATACAGTATGTACAATGGACAAAACGTGTCGAAGAGAAAGAGAGAGAGAGAGAAAGATAGGTTGTGCACAGAATAAAGAGAGAAACGAAAAGAAAGAAAGTGATTTGACGGGAAAGCGTAAAGGCGAAGACCTGCGTGGAGTCAAAATCGAGATAAAGCTGGTTATCGGAAAGCGAGCGTGACACGCGTGTCACGTGGTATGCACTTACCATATCCGCCGAGGATGTTGATGAACTCGGTATGCGGCCTGCCAGTAAACTCTTCCCGACGAAACGTGTCGCGAATCGTACGATGATCGCTAAGAACGACTACTAGTTGCGTTCCTAGTCGAGCACTGAACATTGGACCATACTTTTTCGCGAGTTCCCCGTATCGGAGGTGAACGTCGCCTTTCAGGAATGGCAAATAACCAAACACGGGTACACCCCAAGGCCCTGGAGGCAGGGAACGCACATACTTGAGCCATTGTAAGCATCTTGCCACCAATAACACACCTAGGAACACGAGAAACGTGCAGAGGATCTCGATTCTTGTGCCGCCGATAGCTTGCGAGGCCCATTGTGTCGCGTGTTCCACCAACATATTTACAATACTTTAGATTTTAGGCTACAATTTTTCTTCTTTCGATTTCAATATGCGGCCAAGTCCAACAATATTGTATAGAAACTTTCATTCACGTTTCCTTCGTCGATCGTGTACTCTCTCTCTCTCTCTTTGTTCTATTCCCTTCTTCGTCGGCTTTTCTCAGCGTTACTCTTCCTCTCGCACTCCTTCTTCTCCCCTTAATTTCTTCAATGACTAATGAATTTTGTGCAAGCTCGTTCTGTTCCTTCCTACCCTTCCTCCTTCACGTTCCTTTCCTCTCCCCCTTTCTCTTTCTGCCGTTTTGCCACCCGCTTTCTCCCTCCCTTTCTCTCCTCTTCTTTCTACGTCTCCCACCCTCTCTCTCTCCCTCCGTTTTTCTTTATTCCTTTCGCTTTCTACTTTTCCTTCTATCGTGCAACGCTTTCGGCGTTGAAACAACGAGAAGCACCGAGAAACACCGTTCCAGCCTCCCTAGCTCGTTCTGTATTAACGCGAACGCGATTTTCCTACTCGAAACGATGCTTCCGAAATTCGCGGCTTTAAGTATCAAATCCGATCAGACTGGTGGGGCATAATCTGGAGGGGAATATGTGGAAGAGAGGATACGCGTGCGTGCGTGTGTGAGTATGTGGGCGAATGGGTGTGTGCGCGTGAAAAAAAAGAGGGCAAGAAAAGATGGATGGGCTAGTGTGTCGAAAAATGTTCCAGGATGATTTTAGGATTGCGCTTGACGATAAAGAAGATGCAAATACGAAATGGACAGAAAGAAGTGTACCGACGGTGTAACGATAAACTCGAGCGAGGCGAACCGTAGATACGAAATAGATTGAGGAAGAAGATTGGAAAAGATAACGAGGATGTTGAAGTGGGTGAAAGAAAATAAGGTAATGCAGCAACAAGTGGAATGACGAGGAAGGATGGTAAGATGAGAAAATGGATTAATGGAGCGTACGAGCAGATAGAGGCGAGAAAGGTAGGTAAGCGATTGGCAGATAGCGTTGTACGGGAGGGAAATATGGAGAATGGGGGAAGAGTGGAGAAAGGGGTTACGAAGGATGAAAAAAGAAGAGAGAACGGGAGGAGAAATAAGGGTGGGAAGAGTAAGAAGAAAGAATAAAGGAGAGAAAAAAGTCGGTCACAGCCGCAGCCGAATTTACCGGCGCTCGCTAGTTCGTGAATGGGGAAGATTGAGTGTATACTAACATACACCTTCTTGTCCTTGCCCGCTTATATACTTAGCTCTTCAAGCCCCCAGCGGCTCTAAATGGCCCCCCGGATGCCACCCAATTGCCCCCGGCAGTCCCTGAATATATGGTGGGGCAACGGCACAAAGAGGAGCAGAGACGAACGCGCAAAGGAACGGAAGGAGTCAAGTAAGACGGTGGTCCGTTGAGCGAGTTACCGTGACACGACTCTCGGTGGGGGTACGGCGTAAGCCTCACCTTCAGGGTAGTGGATCGACTTCCGTCGAGAGGGTGCGAGGGCGGACTCCTTGTTCCTCGGTCTCGTTGGTCGGAGACCACGAGGTCTCTCGTCCCGCCACCATAGTGGGGGTATTCGGGCCCCCTGCAGGGATTCGAAACCGTCACCCTATGGTGGGGACCGCTATCACCAAACCCAACGGTGCCTCTCCGTTTTACTCGCAAAGGATCCGCTTCGGGTCAACTATTCTCTGCTTTGTCGCCACCTCCTCCTCCACCTTCACCCCTCCTCCTCCTCCTCCTCCTCCTCCTCCTCCTCCTCCTCTTCCTCCTCCTCCTCCTCCTCCTCCTCCTCCTCCTCCTCCTCCTCCTCCTCCATCTCCATCTCCTTCTCTTCTTCTCTTTCGTCTTGTCCGTTCAAGTAAGCCTTCCTCTGCGGAGGAAAAGGCAACAAAATTGAGAAACGGAGAAGGAAATGAAGAAAAGACACGCGAATAGATCCCGCCGATATATGTATGTAATATTCCGATTCTGAAACGTACCACTGACGGACGAATCATAGGTGAATAT